ACATTTCTTAGAGTGGATAAAATTCACACCTTTAAAATCATTGAGTATTCCCAGTCTCAAATATGGTATATTTTCCACTTATCTAGGACTTCTTTTTGTTCATCCTTAGTGTTATATAGATCCTTTATAAAGCCCTTACACATCTCTTTTTTAAGTTATTCTTGGATACATTATAGTTTTTATTGTCATTATTATAATGAAATAAATTTTCCTATTGTGTTTTCTTATTGGAACTACTGTGTATAGTAATACTGCTAATGTGTATTTTAATGTTGCTTGATCTTGAGTCCAGCAAGCTGGCCCAACTCTCATTATTATTCTTGTATGTTTGGAGATGCTTTGGGGTTTTCTTTTGAGATAGACTTTCTTTTCCATTTTTCTATCTCCCCCAGATATTTAATTGTCTCATTGCAATATTATATCTCTGGTATAATGTTAAATATTCATATTTTAATGGAAATGCTCCTTTATCAAAATTAGTTAATTTTCAAGTATATGGTTTAAATATAGCTTTATAATTATATATTCATATCTATCAATATTTTTCTTTAATTTTTCTCCCTTGGCCAATATATAGCAAAGAAAAGGATGCCCAATATTCTCTTACTAAATGCTGAATGGTTATATATATGTACCTACTTATTATTTCTATGGTTTCATTTTTTAACTTTTAAGTCCTTAAGTCAGCTGAAATTTATTTTTGCAAAAAGTTTAATGAAATGCTTACACAGTATTAATTATTTTCCAAAGATAGTTTTTATTATTTAAAAATTAATGATGACTGGAAAACCTGTCATTTATCCATGATTATGAAACATTGACTTAACTATATGCTTAATTTCTTTATACAGAGGTTAATTTCTAGGGAATTCAAGATTGAGTTAGGATTAGTATTTATTCTTTATTTATGGTAAAGAAGCTGCTTTACAGTACTTCCAAACTATTATTATCACCTTTCTTTCACATATAACCAACTTGATATATGCATTCACATAAGACTTTAAGCCAACTGGAAGACAAATAATAATGGACTAATTATGACTGCAGAGCTGCATACTTGGAAGCACACAATAGATGCTCAATAAAAAGAAGCAAGAATGAATGCCAATGAACTTTATTTACATTCTTAAATTATAAAATGGAATGCCTATTATTTCACTTTAACAAAATCTGTATTAGTCCTCTCTTTAAGGAATGCCCTCTAAGTTTGTTAAAACTACACAGTGTTTCTGACATAGCTCATTAAAAACAACTGTAGCCCACACATTATTTGTCTGGACTCAGCAGTTACAAGGAGGAATAAATAAGCAGGACTAATTTGAAAGTAAAACCATCATTTTCAAAATAGAATTTTAATTCAAAATAGAATTTAAAGCTGCCTTCTACATTCTAACTAATACACTTATTCACTGAAAATACATGTAAGAATATGTCTTGATTTTAAGACACCTCTGTCCAAGTTGGGTGATAATTTTCACAGTCCTCCTTTGGACCTCTAAGAGTTATCCAAAGGTAATACAAGTAGGAATGGCCAATGTCTCTCAGAAACTGCTTTAACAAAAAAATGGAAATTGAGTTGAATCTTGAAGGAGGGAAAGTCTTAAATAAGAGGATTGGTTTGGGGAAAAAACAAGCAACTTCACAAAGTGTTGGCTTTTTCAAGCCATAATGAATCTCACACTGGATCTTGATCTAGTGACTTTCAAATTTTTCCAATTTTTACTTATTTCTTATTTTACATGTATTTATTTCCCAAATAGTTATAAAATGATTCAATACAGCTTACATACCATATATATATATGTATATACATATACATATATATGTATATATATGTATGTATATACACACACATATATGTATGTATGTATGTATATACACATATATATACATATATTTATATATACATATATATACATATATATATATATATTCAGTGCAACATATCTGTGTTTAAATTAGTAAAGTGTGACAAAGGAAACTTAAATTTAGAATTCCAAGCCTTCAGGGAGAAATGTAATATATCAATATGCTGGTCATTAAGATCTTACATAATTATTAAAGCTGAATTGTACCTACATTCTGAGATTCCCAGTGGCCAAAGCAAATAGAGAAGTTAATGAATCTTAGGATTCCCGTTGCCAAGAAGTTACAAACTATTCAGGAAATAAAATAATTCTCAGAGTACTAGGGTCTGGGAAAATTTTTCTCCCATAGGTCTTCATATATAAGATACTGATTGATATGGTGACCATTATCCTCAATAACATCACAGTAATAGATGTGATAATGAATATCTTATGACTTCTTGTTGTGTGCTTTTGTGTATATGGAAGGCATAATTTAAAGCCAAATTCAGCGAAAGGGATCTACACTGGGGCAAACTAAACATTAGCATTCAAGTATACAAAGTCAGAGATAGTCTTCCTTAATGTTAGGATAAAATCTTGGCTCTTTAGTAGACATTGTTAAATGAAATCCTGGTTGTTATTCAAAAAGAGTTTTTGGACGTTGTGACCAACTGAATAACATATATCCCAATAAAAGGTTTTTAAGTTAAACAAAAACAATGTACACCAAAGTAAATACTTCTTTCATGAATTAAATTTGGCTAGCAAGGCTGATAATTTGTAACCTACAATACACAGATCAGTTGACAAATTCCACGTGGAATGGGACTCTGTATGCTGTCTTTTTCACTGCTGTATCACCAGCTTTTAGCATAGTGTCTTGGAGTAAATGTTCAATAAACATTTGAGGAAAAATGAATGAATGAATGAATGAATGAAGTGAACCTCCACACATCTTATTCTACAGTCAAGGTTTTGCAAAGTGTTGTGCAATATAGAGAGGTTCTTTGCTTCACCAAAAACCTGAAGCATCAATCTTCTCTTTTACGCATTAAAAGAAGATCCATATGAATTAAAAAAGTAGGCCTCACATGCTTTTAGGAAAATTCAGAAAACTGATTAAGAGCTAACATTGTTCCCAGAAGACAAAACCTCCCTTTTTAAGGTTGTTGTGAGGTACAAATAAGAAAATAAAATTAATGCATATATATAATGTCAAGATTTACATCTTTGTAAAACTATAATTCTTTAGGCACATTCCAAAGTTCTCTAAGTCCTGAACTTTCCAATTATTTGATGCCTCCATATACCTTAGAACCTTGCACTAGTCTACAACCTTCTCTCCATGCTATAGTTCCCTTTGCTTGGGGGTGTTATAATAACCCTTCTGTCTTCTTGTTTTCCCTATTTGGGGTGTATGTTTCAAAACATAGGGTAGTTAGGTCCATAGACTCTGGCTTGAAATTCTGATTCCCATTTATTAGCTGTTTGATGTTAAACTAGTTACATTACTCTAATTTTTCCTAGCATCATTATCTATAAAACGAGAATAATATATATCACATTCATATGGTATAAAGTTAAGAGCGAACAAATGTTAAGTGTTCTTATGATTATTCTACCAGAACATTATGTGTGAAACCTAAATCTGACCTTGACCATTCTTACTTAAAACCTTCAGTGATTTCTAGAGGCTCAAATCTGTATAGTGCAGTATGTAATTTTTACTTATCATCTGGCTTCAGTTTCCCTTTGCACCCCCTGTCACCCACCATCCCTCCCTCCCTCCCTCCATTTATATTCAGCTTAGCTTTTCAGGGTTCAGCTATTCAAGCAGACCACAGTCTTTTAAGTCTTTAGGATTTGGCACATGCTGTTTCTTTCTTTTGTCCTACCCCTCCCTCCCTGCTTTGGCAGAAACATTTCTATTTCTCTGGAAACCATTTCCTACTTCTTGATAGAATTAACAGCCCTCTTGTCACCATAGCACTGTCTAGAGATAGATATTTCATTTACCTATATTTGTATGTGTCTCTCTCTGATTTGTCTGTGAATTTCTCTAGGACAGGAGTCCTCTTTAAGTCATTTCTAAGTCCCAGAATGCCTGTAACATAGTAAAGATGAAATATATACTGTTAAGTAAATGAATGGACACCTAGAGCAGAGCTTCCCGCCCAACATGTGCTCAATAACATTTATCGAATTGCATTGATTGAATTTAATTTAATTCAAACAACTGTTGCTCCCACAGAACCCTAATCTACTTGCAAATAAAGGGTAGACCCTTTGGGAGTTTCAGGGTCCCTCTGGGTTACTAAATACAACCTAATACACTGGCAATTTAAGAAAGAGGTTTTCTTCACTAGAACCTAGGGAAAAAGTGGAACTTGGGACTTATAGCAGGAAGGGCGTAGAAAAAGGATTGCCTGCCCAGAGTTGCTGTCTCATTGCTTGTGTCATCCTCCCGCCCCCACCATCAAGCCTGGAGAGACGTACAAGAGGAAAGGAGGAGGAAAGAAAGGGGATGAAAAATTTGACCCGCTCCGGCTCCTCTCCCTCCCACAGAGAAGGGCTACACTAAAACAGACACCCTGAAGTGCCTCCCACGGGGTCCAGATTCTTGGAGTCCTCAAATCATCTGCCCTGTCCTTTCTTCCCCTCTTCTCTGGCTTTCCCTCTACCTTCACTTTTTCCCTCCTTCGTTCTTCCCACCACTCGCGCGCGCGCGCACACACACACACACACACACACACACACACACACACACACACACTGGGGACCAGAGAACCTCCCTGCTTCCAAATCCCCTGTTCCAGGAGCCCTGTGACTGTCAACGAAAGGTGCCAGTCACAGGCAGCCAGATGCCTGCGAGTTGAGTTAAATAAATAAACCCCACAGGTTGAGGGAGGAGAGGAAAAGAACACAGCAACCTCCAATCCGTATACACATGCATGTAGAATCCCCAACAGGCAAACAGCCGGATATCTCCTACTACTTTGAGGACGACGAGCACCACAAACAGGAACTTTAAAGGGTTTGAAATCTGTTGCCTGTTCCACTAGGAATATTGTTTGCAAGGCACAAGGTGTCTTTTGGTAGTGAGCACCCTCTGCGCATGCGCAGGTCCATTCGGGGGAATTACTGCCCTGCCGCCGACTAAGTTGCATTCCTTGAATCTTCGCCGAAAAGACCATTCTTCAATCAGAGTTAGTAATGTGGAGAGTACAAAATCGAGAGAGTTTGGGGCTTCTCTCTTTCCCTGTGATGATTGCCATGGTCTGTTGTGCACACAGGTGAGCTGTTGTTTTTTCTCAGTGTTTTTCTTGTTACATGCTTGCTGGATTATGTAGCTTCTTATTGGGGGTAGGTGTGCCTGTCTATTTCTGCTGCTCGCAGTTTGTGTTCATTCTAAATACGGTCGCTACTTCTTCCCTTCAGCACCAACGAGCCCAGTAACATGTCATACGTGAAAGAGACAGTGGACAGATTGCTCAAAGGATATGACATTCGCTTGCGGCCGGACTTTGGAGGTAAAGCTTCATCTTTTTTCAACCTGTAACCCACACCTAATTCTCTGCTGTCAAAGACAAATGTCCAAAAAAGCATGTAATTTTCATAAGCGTACACTACGCCCTACGCCCTGAACACACACACACGCACGCACACACACACACAGGATCCCCCAGTCGCAGGTGGATGAAACCCCGGGCAGAGCCGACCTTCCTCCGGCCCGACACACCCTCTGCATAGTCACTGCATTACGCGTGTGCCCACACCTGTTTTTCTAGGCTGTCCCCTGTAAGGAGGGGTGGGGGTGGAAGGAGCCCATTCAGAATGTTGTAAGCGCAGAGGAAGCCCCTCTCCACTCCCCAGCCTGTCGCCACTCTGAGAATCTGCGTCCCACCTCCCCGGCAGGGCCCCCCGTGGACGTCGGGATGAGGATCGATGTCGCCAGCATAGACATGGTCTCCGAAGTGAACATGGTGAGTGGCCTCAGGACGGGCTCTGTGGCCGGGCTTACGCAGATACGAAATGGACCGGTCTCCATGCCCTCTGCGTTTCATTGGCGGTCATCTCGCCCGGGCCCCAGGAGTCCCACTCTGCGTGCTCTCCCCACTCTGAGACACACGCACACACTCTCTCTCTTGCCTCGGGTTTGTATTTTGAACACACACACACACACACACACACACACACATACACACACACACACACACACACACACACACACACGGGCTACTGCGGTGTTCCGAAGGAAACGTGCCCCGCACTATTTGGGGGAAGACGGGTGACTGGCAGCTGTGGATCCGGTGGGGCGGAGTCTGAGGGTTACTTTGGCAGGGTTTCCTCGGGTGTTCCGATGCGGAGGGCACCATCTGCCGGCGGCCCGGTGGCCTGCACGAGGGTCCTCGGACGGTGGTCCGCAGCCTCCTTCTCGCTGGTCCAGTCCCCCGGTCTCCGCAGGTCTGGAGCCGGGACAGCCCCAGCCTCGCCACCAAGCACGAAAGCACACAGCGAGGTTCCAGAGTGTCCCATCCCTCTTTTCAGGCTCTAGCACACTGTGTTGCAGGAGCAACAGGCTGAGACAACAGTTCATGCTTGCTAATACGACAGTGCTCAAACCTGCTTCTAGGGAGCCTTGTATTGTTCCCACGTGGGGGCTGACAAATTTGCCTTGCGGCATCTTGCAAATTTAAGATGTTTTACTCTAGAAACTTAAGCATACTGAAGATGCTTGATAATTAAAGGGAAGGTAGAAGGGAGGGGGCGAGAGTAACCGCGCAACTCTTTCATTTCAAAGGGTTAACATTCTATTGTTTCCTTTTTTTCCCCTCCTCCCTTTCTGAAGCTGTTGCAAAAATGGATTGAAACCGTAGTTGTCACTTTCTCTATTGGCTGCTTCCTACCACTGTGGGTAGCAGTTTTCTAGTTAGAGTTTCTAACTGTTGCTTCTGCTAAGGCAGAAGGGAAAGCCTGTTGCTTTTCTAGAAACAACCACCTAGGGAACAGCTAGATCTACGTGAGCAGCATGTCATCCCCTCCCCCCCCACCCCAGTCCCCACTTGCGAAAAAATATTGTGTCAGCAACAATTTAGACAGCCTGAGTAATCTAAAGGCTAAAACCTTTAAGGATTTTATCCATTTACAGCTGTAAAGGCTATTGAATTGTCTTTTTATTTCATTACTAGGGTCTCAATATGTATTAACATGTTAAGGTTTAAGAATTTTCTGAAGATTAGGGAAGAAAAAATATGTTTATAATCTATTGAATATCGCTACAGTAAAAAAAGTGTGACTATTAAATTTCTGTATTTTATACTTGTAACTTACAGTTTGAATATTTTTATTTTTAAAATTGATTTTTCAATTACAGTTAACATACAATATTATATTGGTAACATAGTGATTAGGTATTTATATACCTTAGGAAATGTTCACCCCAGTACTAACTTACCTGGATTTAAATAGCTTATTTAAATACTATTTTAAAATAAGATCTCTGATTGTTGTATGGAAAAAGGAAAGCCAATTTTTAAACATGAATGCACAGCAAATATTTTCTGACTGGGCAAAGATTTTTAATAGGCTGACTTATTTATAATATTCAGTTCACATACATGGCACTACAACTAAGCACCCCAAACACACTATTGTTACACATGTATAATATAATAATATGTACATCTACAAATCATACCCAGTCAATGTTATTGCAGCTGAAAAATTAGAAAAAGCAAGTTGTTTGGATCAGGCAGGTAAATAATAATACTTTTACTGTTTACCTTGAAAGTAGCCACACAGATAATTTATAAAATAGGGGAAAGAGTAGGAAAAGCTCAAAAGACAAACTGTGCCTTTGCCAGTGGTCAACCTTCTGCATAGCATATTATACTTTTCAGAATTTTTAAAAATGTATAATTCTATTGACTATATACTACAAACACCTTTCCAGGGTTTTTTTTCTTTTAATTTTGAACTGAATCTGGAAGTTGTGATTAACCAAAACAAACCACCACCACAATAACAACAAAAAGCTCCATATAACCAGCTTTTCAACTGAATTCATATATAAGCTCAGAAAAAAAAATTGAGTTTAATTGCAGTGCCCCTGGAAATAGCTTCTAATGGTGGGATCCTAATATGGTTTATTTACTCACTGCAGCATGTGATTATATACTTGATTTTTAAAAATATTCACCAAGCAGATAAAGCTATGGCAAATACATTCTACTAAAATGCCCATTATTTTTCCACAATGGTATTAGAGATATATGGGAAAAGAGGAAGCACTGAATATTGAAAAATAAGATTAGGTTGACTTATTGTTTTCTTGTTTTTCATTTTATTGAGAGCTATCAATAAGACCCGAGATTTTTTTTTATCTTTGTTCATCTATGGCAAAGCACTGAAATAAACAGATTGAAAATAACTACAAGAAAAATGGAAACAATGAGGAATTTTAGGATTGAGGGTTTTGTATAAACACAATCTGGATGGTTAGCCCTGGTTAAGAGAATGGTCTATAATCAGCTTTGGTTTTTATATAATGTAAGTAGGGGTAAAATGTCTATGGGAAATAAGACTAATTTTTTCTTATATTAATCATGTCGTAGTAGCCTGATAGGAAGTAACTTTTGAGGTTAAGAAAAATTAAGAATGAACAAAGAATATAAAAGTAGCTTTAACGAAATTCAGACTAAAATTCATTACTAAAAGATTGCTCATTTTTATATTCTTATTCATTACCATTATTATCCACCCATTCCACAGCTGGAAAAATGATATGATAACTTTACAATACATTAGTGGATTTGAAACTAGGTTATGTTAATTTTTGTTATTTTTATAGTGAAATATGATTCCTTATTAGTTTAATGACTTGTCTGTTTTAACAACTAACATAACATCAAAAGTATTTTCTGATTCATATACTTCAGGATGTAAAATATTTTTCCCAAATAAGAAAATAAAATAGCTTCTATAGTCAAAGATCCCTACTATTGAGAATTGTAGTTACTGATCAGTGAATGTAAAACCTCTGAATAATAATATTTACACATAAAAAAAACAAAACTTAAGAGCAAACCTTTTGAGGAAATAACATTATTGATTGAATTAAGGATTTCTCTTCTGGCATCTTGTAATATATCATGTATGTGACCATGACTATATATTATTGTTTTTGAATAATCATCTTTAAAAAACACTGTGATTTCCATTTATTGTTATATTAAGCCCTGCTCTCTTAACAATTTCTGCCAAGCCATATACTTGCACACACATGCACACACGTACACACACTCTACAGTGACTAAAGATGCACAGGAGGCTGTTGGGACAAAAAAGAGACAATAGCCCCAGAAACTGCCTTCAAGGAACCCAGTGAAGCACAGATAGTGGTAAGCAAGTCTTCTCTTTGTAGAATTGAGTAGGTTGGGGAAACACGAGATTAACTCTATGCAAACGAGTGGTTGAACTCTTCTACTTCAGCTTCCAAGCTCTAGTTGTTCCTTTCTATTAAACAGGTGGCTTCCGACAATCCAGTAGGAGTTCCACCCACAGAGCTCCCCGTTGCTGAGAGAAAGACACAATGGTCCAAGTGACCACTCCCAGAAAACTTTACATCTGTTGAGTCCTACCTTAAAGTAGCCATCCCCAGTGATAGATAATTCACATGTACTTATTTTTTCTTTCCTTCCTTCATGCATGGACAGATGCAACAGTGAATGCTCCTAGAGGCATTACGAATAACAACAAAACAGCCAAAAACCCCCAAGGCTCAACTAAAATGAGCCAATTGTTTAAACAGTGCCTAAAAGAAAATCAAGTATAATTTACCAAACACTCAGTGTTGTTCAAGTCCACTATTGTGGCTGTTGTTATTTTAATATGTGGTTCCAGGTTTCTGATACACTCTTCAGTTATGTCTAATTACCATTATCTTGGTAACACGAAACAGTAACCACCTGTCAGAATCCCTCCTCTCCCCACTCATTTCTTTAAGTCAGTGTTTCCCAGTCTTTCATGTGTGCCTGAATCACTCCGAGATATTAAAATGTTAAAATGCAAACTTTGAATTAGAGGTCCGGGATGGGGCTGGGCATTCCGAGTTTCTAATGATTCCCAAGTGATACCAACTGCTGGCATGTGGACAGCGCTATGAATAGCAAAGGCTGCAGTGGGTTATTCTAAGATTTAACATTATTAAGAAATGAATGTTTTTCTCTTAAATTTCTCTAGGAATGGTATTATTCCAAGGTTCCAAATTAAGTTTAAATCTAATTTCTAGGTAGTTAAACAGGTAGCTGTGTTTGAAAGGAAAATTTAGTTGAGTTATTGATGACAAGCACCAGGACAAAGACAAGAGCCTAGATGACAGAGCTTGACTTAGACTAATAATAAGCAGTCCTCCTACTTGTGAGTCAGCCAGCCTTAAATGATGGCTATGAAAATACGGCCAAGCACTGTCACTTTGACAGTATTGTACTGTTCTGCTGCTTTACAGAGCACCAATGACTTCTCTGCAGAATGGAGAGCATTGCAGCCTGTTTTTGCCCCCACTGAGGAGCTAGCAATGGCTTTGTAAAATAGCCTAAACATGCGCTTGCTGCTGTCAGTAAATTCTCTGGGGTTACAATAGAATTTCTTTTCAATAGAGCAAATAGGTCAGTACCATTTAAAGGTAGGAACAGATATCAGCAATTAAATAAAGACATAAATTCATTTTTCTCTTATATGAGTAATCAACTAGGTCTCACTTTTAGGTGCTAGGTTAAAATATTATATCATCTGGAGAAGGTGAAAGAGGAAAAACTTACCTTTACCTTTGTGTTCGTGTTTGGAGATGACAGAAAGATTGTTTTATACATTAAGCCACATGCAATCCTATGCAGATTTTTACATTTTGAGTTCACATTTGAAAGCCTATGCTCTTAGGACTAGGTATTAAAATGTGTAACACAATGAAAATAAATAGTAACAT